AATTGATTTCAACATCAGCCCCATGTCACGACTGCTTATTCAGGGGTAGAATTTGGCTTGAAAGACAGTGGGTGGGATTTTCAAAAGTGCTTAAGTAACTCATCAGCACCAGTCCTACTGAAAGTCAGTCACTCAGACACTTTGGAAAATTCCATCCAGTGTATTGACCAGGCCCGCCCAGAGGATTCAGGGGGTCTGGGGCAAAGCGGGGGAGCTGCGGCGCTTGTACTCACCTGGTGGCGGTCCGGGTCTTTGGCGGCATTTTAGCAGCGGGGGGCCCTTCAGTCGTTCCATGTCTTCGGTAGCACTGAAGTACCTGCGGCCGAAGACCCAGACCGCCGCTGGGCCAGGGTTCGCAGGGCCCCTGCGGGGCCCAGGACAAATTGCCCCTCTTGCCTTCCCCCCGCAGCGGCCCTGGTATTGACTACTTGTTACAGGATAGCAGGAGGAACTAACTTTATGGTATGTAATACCAAAATAGTGGTTTACTTTTTATTTTTTTTAATTTCTCAGATATTTTGCTACAAATAAGTTGCTCTTACTTTTGGGATCTCATTTTATTTCTCCCTTAAACCCCAAGCAGTGGAGAAATAGCAATTTTCAGAGTCAGAAGTTTTATGGGAGCACAAAAACATTGACGTTTTGTCAAATTAGTGGATCAAATTTGTTTTGGGGAAGCACTACGTGACACACTAGCCTTCTCTTACTGTTCTAAAGTTCTAGTAACTCTGGAGACTCAAAGCTATGCCATCTAACCATTCACTCTCCCCATATTTAACTATTGTAAGCAGGAACATTCTATGTCTATTCCCTTTCTAAAGAAAACATGTTGAACAAACAGCATAGTCAACTATTTAAACATACTACTTGATAGAACATCCACTTACTTTCTATCCCACACATGATCACCCCTGTGGAAAATAACCAGGTTATTTTTAGGGTCCAGGGCCAACCCAGAAACCTGGCCTAGTTTGAGGTTTACTCCAGGCCAGTCCACAGCCTCTTCTATGTGGAAATCTAAAAAAGAAATTCATGCAGCATATTTATGTGAAAATATGAAATTGGTAGAAAATCCACTGATTTATGATAGAAGGACATGCATATTTCCTCACATGCAATATTTCTATTAAATGTATTGCCATTTAATTCCAAGCAGTAACTTTCTTATGATAAATATATATCATGCACAAGCAGTAGCATCCTGAGCTATGAAAAATGACAGAAAAATTGAGCACCCGCCTTTGATTTTATTCTCTTCTTCATCTTAATAGCATATTTTATATATATATACACACAGAATATTGTTTTATTATCAATTGTATATGTTCCTAGTACACTGAAAGAATGAATAAAATATATAAAAAATTGCTATCTCGAATAATCAGCATATATAGTTTAGAGATAATTCTATTAACAACACATTAGTTTGGCATTTTTCGAAAATACTTTTAATGTTTTCCAGTTTAATTTTAATTAGAATGGTATCAAAAGTGGGCGACTGAGAGCAAGCAGGGCAAGCCTATCATGTTTTTCAGAACAAAAATGTTCTATAAAAAACACAGGGAGGGAAGAAGTAAGCAGCACAAAAGAAAAACAATGATGTGGCCCAAACAAACTAGCAGTACCTTTCAGGATTTACTTATGTGCTTTTGGAAGTCAATCACCTCCTTTACTATGTATAGTCTGCATAGCCTGAGATCACATATTATGTAGTCACAAGTAATTTATTGACAAAAAGAGCTAGATATTATTATGAAGTATCTGAAAAGACCTAAAAAAAGGTGGGGTGGGATAGGGAAGAAGGGAATATCTGTCCTCATTTATCTCATGACCCACTTTACTTCTGTGGACATAAATATCTGGCAATTTTTATATAACCCATATCTGATTTTGACACCATATATCAAAAGCATAGTAATATAACAAGAGAGCCATTCTACTAATTTGAGTCAGTCTCCTTGTTTGTACCAAAAGAGAAAAAGAAATATGAAACTAGGAAAATTAAAAAAATACTGGCTTTGGCCAATTTTGTTTGTGGTTTAATTTTTTTGTTTGTTTTTTTTGTTTTTTGTTTTTTTGCTTTTACCTCAAATTTTCTGCAGTAACAAAATGATTTCAGTACTGAAGACTTTTTTTGAGAGGGCTGTTCCACCTTGTTCTTCAAGCAATGAAATTAAGTGAAGCCAGGGACTTCTTGGCCAAACTAAAATAATTTAGACTCGCCTCTGAAATCCTTATGTCCCAAGATCTAGCATTAAACCATCATTTGGATCTTATATTGTCCATCCCATCTTTTTCAGAAGCCATGCAATAGATATTGTTTCACAGATGTGATTGTCTCATTTTACAAGTGACTTACTTTTTCCCTCTCATACAAATAGGAAGACTTGAATTTTAAAAACATATTCCTCTAGAGAAGCAGATGTCATACAGAAATACAATTTATTTTCCTATTGCACGATATCTGTGTGTCTGTAGACAAATAAACAATACTGAACACCAAACAATATTTGCAATATGAAAGTAAATTGTATTTCTGTATGACATCTGCTTCTCTAGAGGAGTGTGTTTTTAAAATTCAAGTCTTTCTATTTTTATGAAAGGAAAAAGTAAGTCACTTGTAAAACGAAACAATCAGATCTGTGAAACAATATCTATTGCATGGCTTCTGAAAAAGAAGAACCATTAGAACATACAAGAACAGATCCACAGGGCAATGGTTTGCCATAGTTTACATTTAATTTTATTTGCAGTAGCGCAGATATTAAATCAAAATATGTTATTGTAAATACCCACTTTTAAATATAAGCTCTAAAGTCATTTGATCAGTTCCTTCTTGCGTAATTTTGAAGGGAAAGATCACCCCATTACAAAATATTACAGCTGGATTTTTTCCTCTATGGCAATACAGGAAAATGGTAAAAAGTTTAATGAGGCAGCATTATATTAAAAAAAAATACCTTAACGGCAAATATCCACAAAGCAACACTTCATGGTGTGCTGGAAAAGTTTCTGTACACATGAACAAACAGAGAATTGCCACTCATTTTTTCGCGTAGGAGTTTTTCTTGCTTAAAAATATTTTCTATAGGGAGAAGGGGAGGGCAAAGGGAGATGACAGGGGAGGCTCCTCTTTCCCCAAAGGGCTTGAGTTAATTTTCCTCTCTTATTTTCTGCATGGTATAGTTTCCCCTCGGGCAGCTGAAACCAGAACTCTGTTCTGCAGACTAGGCCACTGAGAACAGCAGAATGAGGAAGGAAAATAAAAAAATGAAACATAAAACTCTTCCCCCCCCCCTTTTTTTCTTTTGCAGGGTAGAGTGAGGTGTCCCCTTAGCTCTTCTTTTCCTTCTCACACTTTTTTCCACTGGTAGTGTCATTAAATTGAGCCTGAGGGAGCTCAAGGTGAAGAAGGCCCCACCCATACCTGTCTCCTGCACTCTCAGCAAGATCTATTGCTCAGTCATAGTCACATCTTGATTTCATTTCTTTTCCCCAAAAACCTTGTTCTTTTGGTGCACTTTCACGTAATCAAAATCAAAAGAAGTTTAGCATAGCAGAGGAAAATGAAAATAGTATGGAAATAAGTAACTACACATAAGATTACTGAACTAGATTATAACACAGTTTGGCCAGCCCATGTGGACAGAGCCAAATCATGTTATAACTGGGCTTAAGTTGATGTGTTCACCTCTAGGTCTCTCTCTGCATAAGCACAAGTGATAAGCCACTGTTAAAAGGTCTGAGTAGATGGGATGAGAGACTTTTACAACTTGAGTGTGGAGAAACAAGAAAGAACAAATATGTTATATAGGGATTAGATCTCTCATTCAGCACAGTTTTTGACATGGCACTAAGAAAATAAATTTAATCATATTTGCAAGAATCAACAATTTAAGAGTCAAGGACAAATATTTTGGAGCCTGGTTTTGTCTTCCACCTTCCATTTGCTAGGCGACACTTTACTTCATCTCAGAGGAGGATCCAAGTCAGAGTGATCGAGGTATTCTTCACTTGCAGATAGCAATTCATTGTATCCAAGACCAATGTTGGAAACAATACAACTTCTCTGGCTTGCACAGAACATGGCAGCCAGCTTCTCAGTGGTGTAAAGCCATTGTGAGCACATCACCCTGTACTCTGCAGACTCCATTAGCTCAGCTCCAAATCTACTTGTTTTACCAGTTCAGGGTCCTAGGTATAATCTTCAAAGCCATGGATGGTTCAGGACCCAGCTATATCAACCACCATATCTCTATCCATGACACAACAAGATAGATGCAGTTTTAGATAATGCAGAGAGATTCATAGATTCCAAGGCTGAAAGTGACCAGTATGATCATCTAGTCTGACCTCCCATATAACACAGGACATAAAATTTTCCCAAAATAACTATAGCTCATATTTTAGAAAAAATAATTAATTGCATTTAAAAATGGTCAGTGATGCAGAATCCACAACAACCCCTTGGTAAATTGTTCCAATGGTTAACTACTATCACTGTAAGAAGTTTAAGCCTTATTTCCTGTCTGAATTTGTCTAGCTTCAACTTCCAACCACTGAAACATGTTATACCTTCTCTGCTAGACTGAAGAGCCCATTATTAAATATTTGTTCCCCCTGTAGATATCTATGGACTGTAATTATGTCACTTCTTAACCTTCTCTTTGTTAAGTTAAATAAATTGAGCTCTTTGAGTCCATCAATATAAGGCAGGTTTCTAATCCTTTAATCATTCTTGTGACTCCTTTTTGAACCCTCTCCAATTTAGCAACATTTTTCTTGAAGTTTGGGCACCACAACTTGACACAGTATTCCAGCAGCAGATGTAAAATAACTATAGATGTAAAATAACTATTGAATTTAATCGGAATATTTGTGTGAGTAAATGCTGCACACTCAAGATGGAGAGTGAAATGTAACTGAAGTTCTTATGGGTGCTCCAAGTCAGCATCTGCACACACCTGCACATTTTTGATTGGATTTTTTTTTTAAATCAGCAGTGTCTGTGGGTCCACGCCTGTGCCCTAGATACCCCAATGAAGGTAATTAGGGAGTGGATGGGCTCACCACCACTACAGTTCCTTCTCAACCATGAAAGTCCAGAGAAAGACTCTGAGGCAGTGGGAAAGGACAGTGCACCCACAGGGATACATCTAGAAGAATTCCAGTTAATGTACAAGGTAAGCGACTTCTCCTTTTTTGCGTAGAGTCCCTATGGGTGCTCCACATCAGGAGATTCCCAAGTAGTATCTCAAATACAGAAGAGGGGGGCACTGAGCAGGTGGATTCAGTACGGATCATTGAACAGCACCACTGAAAGCTGCATCAGATCTGGAAGCAGGCAAGAGAGTGCAGTATTGGGAAAATGTGTGCATCAAAGACCAGATGTCTGAGATAGGCCTGTTTTTCTGCAGAGTAACAGAGGTAGATTGAGCTCCAGTGGATGAACGGTCACTCTGGAGGGAAGAGAGTGAACGCCTGAGGCTTCTTAACGGATTAAGGTGTATTCTGCAACCCATTTGTACTGCCTTTGGCTGGAAATCAGATGTCCTTTCTTTTGTTCTGCAACTGAGATGAAAAGCCTACATCAAGTCCTACCTGTTGAGGTAAAAGGTGAGAGCTCTTCTTAGGCTCCTTTCTCCTCTCTATGAGTGGGGCTTAGGATAAAACATCGATGGGTGAATTCCTGATTAATGTGGAATTCTGAAATAACTGTAGGTAAGAACCAAGGGTGTGGATGTAGCATCATCTTACTGCAGCAGAACACTGTGTACGGTGGTCAGTCAAAGCTCCAAACTCCCCTACCCTCCTGGCTGAAGTGATGGCTATGAAGGAGGAGGTCTTAAGGGATAAGATAAGGAGAGGACAGTTCTTAAAAGGTGGATTTCCTCAGCGCATTGAGGACCAAGTTGAAGTTTCATGGTGGAGTTGGCTTCTTGATAAAATGAGAAGAGGTTGAACAGGCCTTTGACAAATCTCTTAGTGGTTGGGTAGATGAAGACTGAAAACCCTTTGATGGGGTAAAAGCTGTGATAGCAGCTAGGTGAACCTTAATGGAGCTCAGTGATAAGCCTGTGGTTTTTAAATTCAGCAGGTAAATTGAGAATGTGTATCAGATAAGACTCTAGAGGAGATGTAGATGGGTGGCTGCACCAAATATGGAAGTATTTCCACTTCTGCAGGTAAGTTTTTTCTTGTTGTGGGTTTTCTACTTTTAAGCACCGCTGGGGACAGACCTGTTCTATATCAGAAAGCCATTCAGTAGCCATGCCTTGAAGTGAAATGTCAGGAGATTGGGCTGGGTGATGGATCACAACTCCTGGTGAGGATATTTGCTCAGGGGAAGGTGGAGAGGTAGTTGCAGAGACACGCAAACCACCTCTGGGAACTACACTTGGCTACTATTTTTTTTCTTGTTTTTCTTGAGGACTGAAGGTTTCATGAAAGCCTTTATATAGCAGTACACAAGGCCAAAGAATGACTGGGGCATCTCCTATTGAGTTGTGGCCGCATCCTCCCCTCGAGCAGAAACGTATTGGATGGAGTTGCAAAGAGATCTATCTATGGATGATCCCAGGTAAGACATACCTCTTAGAATACCTTGTTGTACAGCTCCCACTTGTGGCTGATGTGGAAATGCCTGCTGAAGTAGTCTTCCACTGTGTTCTGTAGTCCTGGCAGACAAACCATTGATATCTGTATGCTGTGCGATATGCACCAACTCCATAGTTTTATGGATTTGGCACATAAGGACTTGGATCTTGCTCCTCCTTGTCGATTCATAATACTTTGCTGCTTGGTTGTCTAGTATCATTCTGACTGAGTGATCCCTGATGTAGGGTAGCAAGTGCTGGCAAGCATAACAAACTGCTTCAAGCTCTAACATGTTGATATGGTGGATTGACTCCTGAGAAGTCCATTTGCTGTGAACTGTGAAGTTTCGGACATGTGCACCCCATCAGATCAGGGAGGCATCTGTAGCAATGATCCTTGTCAGAGGAGGCTTCACGAACAAAACTTCCATGCAAACATTTTGTGGCGCCTCCACCAATTTAAAGAATCAAGAACCCTCCAACGTACAGACACCTGCTTGGATAGATTGTGCTTGTTGAGGGTACAGATAGTTCTCAGCCAGGCTTGAGGACACCGAGACTGTAATCTTCCTAAGGAAGGCAAGTGCTTGCTGTGGTTTGTGGGTTCTGTTGCATTGTTGAAATGAGGCTGGACATTGTGGCAAATCTGTCCGTGGGCAAGTATACTCTGGTGGTGATGGGGTCCAGAGTGGCCACAATGAAGTCTATTAGTTGAGGGGTGTGAAAGGAGACTTTTCAGCATTGACGAGGAGGCCCAGAGAGTGAAACAGAAATAGGTCCATGCTGGTTGCTGCCCATACCTTGAGAAGTGAGTGACCTTTCAGGAGCCAATCATTCAGCTAGTGAAAGACAATAATTTATATCTGGTGAAAATGGGCCATGGTGGCTGAGAGCACTCTGGTACAGACCCTTGGGGCAATGCAGCAGCTGAAGGGTAGGATGTGATATGGGTAGTGGTATCTGCCTACCACAAAACAAAGGAAACTTCCGTGAGAAGGTTGCATAGTGATATGATAAGCATTGGGACAGTTGAGGGAGACAAACCAATCTCCTGGGTCCAGAGAAGCACCTCCTGCCTCAAGAGACTCTTGCGAGAAGGATGCCTGAAGAGGGAAAGGGTGGGGCCACAGAAAGAAGCTGAATTGGATGGAGTAACCTGTGGAATTATCTCCAGGATCCACCTGTCTCAGGTGGAGAGCTCCCAGGAAGGTAGAATATGGGAGAGGTGATCCCCATAAGGGTGGATGGGGGATAGTGCAGCATAGAAACTGGAGCTGGAGAGAGTTTGGGACCCTCAACCAATGGGACAAAATGGTTGTTTTGAGGCAGTCACTGACTCAGTGGTCACGCCAGAGGATGGATGGCCCTTTCTTAGTGAACCTGGGTTTCTTCCTAGCCAGTTTAGCCACCTTATGGGCTGACAGTGGACCGGGCGAGACTGCTGAGTCATCTGCAATCTACTGTATTTTCTCTGTTGCAAAGTGTATAGATGCCCAGAGATCATAGTGTCACCCAAGAGTCAGAGAATGAAGGGATCCATCTGTGGCATCACTAAACAATCTGGGCCCTTTGAAGGGAAGGTTCTGAATGGTATTTTGTACTTCTCAAGGGAGGCCAGAGGACTGCAACCAAAAAGCTTGGGGCATGACTATTACTGTAGCCATGGAACATGCAGCAGTATCAGCAGCATCGAGTGAAGCCTGGAGAAACACCTTGGCAATTGTCTAGCCTTCTGTTCTGAGGGTTTTAAATTGTTCCCTCTAATACTGAGGGAGGTGTTCAATAAAAATTAAAAATTTTGAATAGTTTGTAAAATCGTATTTTGCTATCAGGGCTTGTTAATTGGCTACTCTGAATTGCAAAGAGACCGAGGAATAGTTTTTGAGGCCCAGAAGGTTCAGTTGTTTTAGCCCATTGCTTGTTTGTTTAGTTAATGGCCTCGACAACCAGGAAGTTGGGTGTAGGGTGGGAGAAAATAATACTCCAAGCCGTTGGGTGGAATGTAATATTGTTTTGTCAGCCTGTTTACAGGCAGGCGGTATAGCAGCTGGAGTTTGCCACACCATATGTGCTGGGGCCAGGAGAGCATCATTGATGGGCAAGGTGATTTTACCTTGAGGAGATGTATGAAGGATGTACAACAGGGAATGTTGGGTTTCCTGTATACCCTCCAACGGAATATGTAGGGCCACTAGTATTCATTTCATAAAGTTTTGAAAGGCCATGGCATCATCAACATAAGATGGTGGGGGAGGCATGCCAGTCTCACGTGGTGAGGAGGATCATCTGTGGGAAGGTGGTGTTTCTTCTCTCTCATCTGGGTCTTGCTCCGCTGTAAGATCCTCCTGGGGAGCAGAACCCAAGCGTGGCGGCTGTTGCTCCTGACATGTCCTCTTATGAGATGGGACCTTGTAAAACTGTTTGTCATAAGGGACTGCAATAAACCCACTGTGGTGGGGCATGAAGAATGAGGGCAGGGCCCCAAAGTTGTTCTTGCCAAGGTTGCTGGGTGAATCTCCTGCTGGGAGTTTCCTCCACAGGGAAGCTATAATGTGGAGGAATCTTGTATAGACCTCAGAATTGGATGAGAGGTCATCACTATATCTATCAAAGGTTCAAGTGGTGCTGGTACCAGTGGTCAAGTCAGTACAGCGGTCCAATGAAGGTCCTGTCATTGTACTGGTAATGGAGGTCAATGGTTGGTTGGCTAGTGAGACTTTACCAGAGGATGTTGTGTCAGTACCAGCTGGAAATACCTCTCTGTACCTTACAGAACTTTGCATGGGACTGGTGATCATGTTGGTACCAGAGGATGAGTACCGTTGAAGATGGTAGTATTGGAGGGTAAGTAGCTCTGGGAGGCTAGTTAATACTTATGGAGAGTCTCTTGGTACCCCTCAGTAATGGTGATTCAGGCTCTGGATAATGGTGACTCTGGTAATGGTAATGGTGACTTTGGATAGGGACCGCATCGGAGTCAGTATGTCAGGGCTACCAAAGTGCAATTGGTGTGCCCTTCAGGCTTGGCTACAGAAGACAGTATCAGTGACTACTTCAGCTGGGCTTTGGAGTCCTTGAGTTTCAAAGACCACTCTAGGTTGTTGGTTCTTCTTGGTGCATGGTGTGGTGGTCTTAGCCGGTGCCATGGTCCAAAGGTAATGGGAGCCCATATCGGGACATGAAGTCTCCTGAGACCCGCTGAAGGGGTGACTTTCCCCTTCTCTTGTCCCAGGAGAATGGGGTCTTTTCTTCTTTGAAGGTCTGGGTGGTTCTGTTTGTTTACTGTTGTGGCAGAGATGGTTGCTGAGACTCTCTGAGCAACCAGATCCAAGCAACAAGGAGTGTGAATCAGACCCCCAGGCCTCAGAGAGCACTCCATCAACAAGAGTTTTAGTCTGTCCTCCCTTAATTTCTTAGGTCTGCTTTTAAAACCTGGAGAGGACATGAGTCTCTCGGAGGCAGCTTGAATGTCTGTTGCTGCAGGGGAAAACCTACGGCAGGTCTGGCAGGGTTTGAAGCCTGCGGTTTTGGGCATAACTGGTGCTTGAGGCTGTGGCTCAAGGCCTGAGAAAAAAAAACAAAGGCCCAGTAAATGAGGAAGGGAAGGGAAGACCTCCCCCACCCCCAGCACAAATTGTGCTAAATAACAAAAAATAAAGAAACTACAAAAGAAAATAAAAAAATAGATTGAGATAACTAGCTATACAGCATGCTACCTAACGTACACTGTGACACTCTGTCTCAAGTTGCAGGTGGCTGAGACGGAAACTGGAGTGGCAGTGTGTCTGCCCCCTCCCTTCATTCACTTGTAGCAGAGCACAAGGGTGTCTAGGGCGCAGGCATGGACCTGCAGACACTGCCCACAAAAATCTCTGAGAAAGCGCACAGGGGTATGCAGACGTCCTGATATGGAGCACTCATAGCGATATTAGTTGAAGAAAAATGTAATGATGTGTGTGTCTCACACACACACAGATTATTTACCAATTCAGGTAAGAAAAATATTGAGATATAGATATAAAAAAGGCAGAAGTAAAATATTACTGAAATTAAAACTTAAAAACTTGAAGTTAAACTAATACTAAATATCAATACTATTAAACAAATACAACTAAGAGAAAGTGGATATAGTGCTAAGAAACCTTAAGTGTTTCAAGTTTATCTGAGTTACGTACTTGACAACAGGAACTGGCAACTAAGCATGTGAAGTTTAGTGTGATTTTTGTTTTATTTTTGCAGTATCTTCATTTGCAGCCACAGCATAGGATGGTACCATTATTATTTTTTTTAAACTATATAAATAAAAGAATTAAAATAATTTTGCATCCAATGTATCTAGTTGCTTCTTTCCAAATTGAAATCTGCTACTGAGAATCCACACAATATTTCATGTTAGTGTGCATAAATACTTTCCCTTCCAGAGAGTCAATGTGGGATTAAAGATTTTTCACTTTATTATAACCACTCTTTTGCCAAAAGATGGCGCTGATAACTTCCTTGTAGTCCAGAATTTCTGTGAATAAACAGTGTTGTATAGATTTAAAAGGGAAAATAAACTTTGATTTTAAAATATTTAAAGAAAACATTTCAATTTTGCTTCTCTTGTTTCAAAAACTTGCAGGCAGGTCAACTGTACAAAGTAACCTCCCCGCCCACCCTCCCAAAAAAGCGAACAGCCAAACAAAACCCCAAAATGAACTAACCAACCAAACCCTATACTTGCAACCAAAAATATTAATGCCACAGCAATACTGAAAACAAGTTGCTACTTCTTTCTGTAATCAGGACTCACACTAAATGGTGCAGCAAGTCAGCATTTTATTCAGTTCACTGACATTCACCCACTCAATCAATTAAAATGGAAGGGAACTTACTCTAACATTTCTCTTTTCAAAATCATATTTCTTAACCTTCTGGACCTAGAGAATTTATTTTGCAGGAAAATACGTGCTTCTTGGTCACATGGCCTGATTTTTCATACACTAGTACCAGTTGAACTTCACAGTCTTTAATGGTGCTCTTCCTGATTTACACTTGTATATGGGAGAAGAAAATCAGGGCCATATTAGTGAACATTCCTCAACCTTTCCTCCCTGCCTCTCTTGCCAATAACTGTGGCTGTATTTCATTTAAAAGCAAGTAGCAACACTTAATACTAGAAGTCCATATCTCTGGTCTTCTATTAAATATTAAATCCTGTATTTAGCGATTATTGCACTATATTTGAACTGTATGTGAGCAGAAGGCATTCCATGCTCATATTTTAAATTGCAAATAAAAATCAAATGGATGATGAATAATTTATGTTTGTAAGGAAAATGTATTTGGAAACAGCAAGCTGGCTGTTTGCAACATAAAGGCAGTCTGTGCTGCTACATCTCACACACACAAATGGCTGCCATGCATACATAACAGATACTCTTCACATGCTGTATTATCTGCCTTTCCACATTAGCGAGACTAAACACAATCAATATCACAGAGACCACAACACAAGTAAAACAAATATGCTTTTATTGTTTTTGCTGTCATAGAAACCTGAAGGGAATGAGTTTTAATCTGCTAATTAGAGTAGCCAATCCTGATTTGAAATAAAGAAATAAATATTGACTTTCTGGACCATTCCTCAATAACAACAACTACTTTTCTACATTTAAAGAAAAATAGTTAGTGGAACTACAAGAAATAAAGCTTGTACAATCTTGATGTTTGACAAGTCAAGTCAGCTGAAAAAAGTCAACAAGCTCGCCCATTAGTCATTTCAATGAAGCCAGTTGCATAAAGGGAAAAATAAAACACTTTAATTCACTACTATATCCATAGTTGTTTACTTCAATTTAGCAGAATGCCAAATTACCCACAATTTGTTCAACCCTCAGTGTTTCAATTTAACAGCCCCAAAAGTGAACTATTTGGATCTGATTATTCTAACTCAATTTTTCCAGTAGACTATAGCCACTCTTGATAATGGGAGGGAAAAGTTTATGATTTATGTAATCATGAGAGATGTAAAAAGACAAATTTCATAATTTGATCTTTTTGTGAAATTATTTCAAGCATCAACTGATATTCCCTTCAGATTTTGCTAATGTGGATCACAGCTCTTACTTTGCAGTACATTACTTAAAATGAATCCCTAACCCACCTCCAGTATGTTCTTTTTCCCAGCTTCCCTCATCATGTTGTAAAGAGAAATGCCTGTTCTCTGGTGGCCTCAAGGTGGATTCTAGTCTGTGAAATTTGTGAATTCTGTTTCTGGCGAGACTAGTATTGGCCCTTTCATTGTGATTTGTAACCTCTCTGGCATCAAACCAGCCAAGATCCTTCTTTTGGACTACATTAGCAATCTCAGCTACAAGATCTGATTCTGCCTTTTCGGTAGGATTATACTTATGCACATGAACAACATCTTCCCTTTCTCCTAGCAGCTTGGAAATGAGTGAATAGAAATCACCTGTACAGAAAAGAGAAAAGATAAGAGGAGGGAGGGGGGGAGATTATAATAGATTATAAAGTTTTCTACAGTTTTAGCAAACTACAATAATATAGAAGTATTCATACAGTCATTGGTATGGCTAGTGCACGAAGGAACTGTTTTCAGTCTTTCATAGATTTGAATGAAGAAAGACTGTGGCATGAAGAGATATCAACCCTTTATTATCCTTAATTTACATAATAATGTCCAATTTTTCCTGACATTTCAGGATCAAAAAAGAGCACATCAGCTCTCTAAAGATGTTCTTGGGAACAAAGGAATGCGTCCATGATTTCAACAAGAATTTCAATAAAGGATATTTACAGAGCACTCTGCTGGATTTAGAAGCCAGAGTACTGCAGAGTTATTAAAGAAAGATCAGAATTCCATAGTCTTGTCAATTTTATCATTTCTGAAGTCAATAACAATAATAGGTATACATTTCAAAATATCTTTTTTTGAAAAGTATTATTGCTTAAGAAGCCCAGGCTGCAAAAAAGAAAACCTAATCTGCAATAATGTCAACGTAACGTGCTGCAGAAAGCAGACTCACTAGCTACATTTACAGACAGACAATTTTTAACTAGATATAGTAGCATTCTTCAGTCCATTACTGCAGATTGCAGAAGACTCCTTCCTAAAAATCACTCCCTAAGCAAACAGGAAGCAGTTGTACCTACAGCATTATAACAAATCAGCAGGCTTTCCCATAACCTATCATGCCTGTATCAAGTTCTAGAATGTTGGCCCAAGAACATAGAAAAAGGAAAATTAACCTACGTGTAAAATGTAGATTTTTTTTGCCAAAAATCAGTTTTAACCACACTGATTTATGTTTAATCTTGTAAAAAGACTTAAAATGGTGACAATGAGGGCTATCCTTAGGGATTCTGCTGCCCTAAGCCAAACTAGCTTTATATACTCCACCAGCTTGCAGTCACCCACACAATAACTGAACATTTTGTTGCTCTAAGCAAATGTCAGTTCTGTCTGTATGTTAGAGACACAGGGGAACAAATATTCAACTAACAAATTATGCTTTTAATTTGTGGTAAATATATAGCGATGAGTCCTTTCATTTAATTCTACGTAGATCTAATGAAGAGATAACTTATGATTAAGGAATTCATTATTTAATTTTTAAATTACAGTTATAGTGCCGTATACATTTTAAAAAGAGTTTTATATTAAGTAATAGGAAGTCAGAATGATAACTGTCTAAGCTTCAACTCATTCACTGATAATTCATGATCATTAACTTGGTATGGGGAAAATTAAGTCTTTCAAAAAAACCCTAAGAGATTCTGTCATGTTTATAAACAGTCCTGGTTCAATGATTTCAACTAGGCTTCCAATCTCTGGTCTTCAAAGAGGAATATCCCAGGTGAAAACTTCTGTCAGATAATAATTGCTGAAGTAATAGGGCCAATTTCAGCAAAATGAACAAAGCAAATTAGACCTGAACAAAATTTGTTATGCCATCTATGCTAGTATGCCTCATAGAACCTACTCTAAATGGCAGCCTATTGCTAAATTCAACTAACTTGTCCAAATGCAGATTTACAAACCAACAACCCCAGACATTTAAAAATACATTTAAATAATCAGCTTTGCATACAATATATATTTATTCTTCCACAGGGTCTATTTGGGTTTGTACCTGGGGCAGTTAGCATGGGCCAGCACTCCCATTACCCGTGCTACTGCAGCTACACTACTATTTTTTGTCCATCATATTGTACTCTGTGAAGGTAAGAAGGGCTCAAGTTGCTGGAATCTTAGGCAAACAGAAAGGAGGGCTTTATTTCTGACTAAAAGGCAACCGCCTGTCAGCACAGTCCTAATAATTCTGAATCACATTTGAGCAGCGTTCTTTTCATTTTAGTTTCTGCTCTTCAGCAGGGATTGCCTGGAGCAGCAGTTCTCCATCAGGGGTCTGAGGTCCCCTGGGGGGCTACAAGCAGATTTCAGGGGATCTGCCAAGCAGGGCTGGAATTAGACTCACTGGGGCCCAGGGCAGAAAGCCGAAGCCCCACTGCCCCAAGCCCGGCCACCCTGGCTTGAGCAGCTTAGCTTCATGGAGCCCCGTGGCCTGGGGTCCCAGGCAATTGCCCTGTTTGCTACCTCCTATTGACGGCCCTGACACAGATGTACCGTGCAGTTTTTATAGCATGTTATGGGGGAGCCTCAGAAAGGAAAAGGTTGAGAATCCCTGGCCTGGAGCAAGCCTACTTGCACCTATTGAGGCTCTGGGGGAATGGGCAGACGCAGTGGAGACAGAACAGGAACTGTCTGGGTCTTATGAAACTTTGACACTCCCCCTTCCAGCCACTGACTAACAGGACTACTTATACCTCCAAAGCTACTAATACGGTGAAGGCCTGCTGCATGAAATCAATATGAGGATCTGTGGATCTCAGTATGAAAGAGAAAGACTTAACAGCAGAGCAAAC